CCCCCAACATGGAGCCCTCCACTTCAACTCCCGGGAGCGGGTGTCCCTCCCGCGCCCCCCCGGGGGGCCCCTCCCGCCCGCAGCCTCCTTCCCCGCTGCGGACGCGCGGCTAGGGTGCTGGGGCCGCCGTCGCGCCGGATTCTCCTTGGGCTCTGCTGCTCGGGCCTAACGGAGGCGTCAGCCAGGGCGGGCCAGCCGGGGAGGCCCTTCCCGGGCGCCCAGGCTGCTTCCCTTGCCCCAGGAGCAAAGAGGCCGCACGGGCTGCGCGGAGCAGCCCGCAGGCTGGCGCATGCCCCGCGGGAGGCGCTGCGGGACACGGGCTCGAGGCGGACGCCAGGGGGCAGCAGCCGTCCTCGCTGCCGGCCCGGGAGCCCGGGAACGCCCCCGCTGGAGCGGGACTCTGCTGGCCCTCCCCCAGGCCTTTGGGTCGCTCTTGTAGCAACTCCAGTTTGGAGAGAAACGACTGGAATCGGCCGCGTCCCTCCCCTACTAACCCGGGCGGCGGAGCTGGTGGCGCGGGAGCCCTCCGGAGGGGGTCTCCGCTGTCCTGACCCGTCAGCATCAGGGTCTTTTCCCGAAACCCCTATGCACGCACACCGCGGTCGGCCAGCTCGTCACCATCGGTGCTCCTGGCGTCCGGGGCACCGTTGCCGGGCCCGCGGCCTCAGCTCCCTCCTGCCTTTCCGAGCTTCTCCCCAGGTGGGCCGTTCACTCGCTCCTCTCCCGGACACCAGGGACACTCCCGGGAACAACCAGCAACTAGCTGCATTTTGTTTGTTTTAATGGGTCTGGGGTCTCCGAAAACTCCTTTTTATTTTTCCTTAAAAATGATCTTGAAGAAGCCACATTTCAGGAGTAAAGACCCCCCAAAGTCCTCTCTCCACCTTGGCCCAGCGATTGCAAATGTTGCGCAATGGCCAAGCCTCCCTGTCTGCCGCCCCCCTGCCGGGCTCGGACGCTGCCGGCCCTAGCGACGAGTTGGGGCGACTGAAACCCCTTTGCTCAAATACATCGCTGTAAGAGCCCACCAAGCGCTCCTGGGGACAGCCTCCAAGTGCATCCCCAGGGACCCCCGCGCACGTAGAGGGTGGGGCCCAAGAATGCGGCAGAGGCGAAAATGGGCTCTGATTCGGGGGAGATAGTGGACTGGGGGTAATTCGCCCTGCGGAAAGGTCAGCGAAGAAAGCTCCTCTGGGGCTCAGGCGGTTTGAAACACTAAACCCAGCGAGGGGCTGCCGGGCGGACTCGCCGCGGCGGTCTCCCTGGCGGGGTCAGGTTCCCTTCCTTAGAAAAGAGGTACAGGAGTAGATGCACCAAGTTTAGCCCTTCAACGGCAGCACCGTGGACGCTGCTCAGCTGAGTTTCAACCAATAAATCTCGAGTGTGAACGTCAACAAGGACGGTAAGAGCAAGAACAGCTTTTGCTGATCTATTCTCAATCCGGCCGCCGCGCATTTAGGGTTCCCGGGACCTGCGCTGGCTCTGCGGTGTGCGGTGCACACTTGAAAACCAGAAACAAAACGCAGCAACCTTCCTTGTCGAGGAACTAAAATGAACGGAAAGCAGGGAGCGTGAGGCTCAGCTAAGGTATACCTGGAGTCCTTTAGTCTGAAAGACTTTTTACAGACCGTACAAAGTTCATTAACATCGCATACGAAACGAAGAGTTCCTTCCCACCAAAAGCGCCCATTTTAGCGGCAATACAGAATTTCCCTTCCTCTGCCTCTCCAAGAAAGGAAAGGAAACATTACCACATTCACTCCTGGAATAATACTAAAATTTACTCTTGTCATAATACAAAAAAAAAAAAAAAAAAATACAACGAAGCGATGTGTTGGGCGGATGCTATATGATGGATTTTTCCAAATTTGCTGCGTGGGGGAAATTCCAATAATGCTCATAACAGGAATGAAATGTAAGTTTACATACGGAATTTTAAAAGTACTATTTGGTTAGTTGGAAGAAAAATAACCATTTCATTGGGAAAAATAACAGCTCATTGACGTTTTTCTTCAACTTTAGGTAAATATATAACTAAGTGATCTCAGAAAATATCTAAATATTTTACACTTTTGCTGTTTTAAAACCCTCTCAAAAATAAAATATGCCTAAAGATAGGATTAGAATCTGAACCATTCTCTTAAATCAAAATTCTCGTCTGTGAGTAACATATTGCTAAAATTACATTTCTAAAAATGTAGTATTTCTAGAAAAAATCATTTCTATTTCAGTGGACCATTTCAATGAAATAAAAACCAGAGAATGTATTTTGCTAGCGTTTTTGGACCAAATTGGTACAGCTGATACAATGTCACAAGGATGGAGAACATTCTTGTGAAGAGTAACATATTAATGTCTGAGCAAATAACATGCTATACACACCATCCAGTTTTCAACACTGGAATTTAAACATCCCTCCCACCCCCAGCCCACCAGCGGCTTTGAGATTATTTTACTTTTGAAATCTAATTACTTTGGGGACAGGATTCTTTTGTTCTGCCACTATATCCTTCCTCCATATGCATGTTTTCATAGGATGCGGTGCTTGATGGGTGAACTGTTCACTCTAACATCACAGTGGTGCAGCTCACAAGTAGCAAACTGAGGAATTACTTAAATTAAATTTTTTTTCAAATTTAGGGTGCTTAGTAAACATTTTACCCTCATAAAAATTTTGCATTGCCATGCTGTAACAAAGGTAATAAACTAGGTTATAACAGATAGAAGCCAAGCTCTATTTTTTTTTTCAGAGAGTCATGTAGTCATTTAATAGCAGCAGAATACACCTGTGGTAAACTACTCTGCAGGACCGAGGGTATCATTTAAAGTTTCATTGGAATGTTTTATATGGTTTGATATTTAAAATATGAAGAACAGCTTTTAAGTAGTTTTGAATCAGCAAAAAAAAAAAAAAGAACCTCAATTATTTGGCTAATTTATGTCATAAGTTATTTATACATTTACATAGGTAAAAATCATGTATATGCACATATGAATGTGCATATTTTATAAAAAATATAATTTGGAATCCAACATACCGTGAACATCTCTAGATGGATTCATTCCGTGTACACATTCTGAAAGAACAGAAAGTAGGAAAATAAAAACGATTGTATAAATATACTGACAGCAAACACCAAATTTATTGATGGTTGGTGAATTTCATTCTAATTGTAATACATGCAAGTATAAAAACTAAATTTCCCCCACTTATTTTTTGTTGTTGTTGTTGGCTGATTGCCCCTCACACTTTTTAGCACTGGGGAGTTTTACAGCATATTGTCCAGCTTTGGCACAAAAATAGCTTAAAACAGTAAACCAGCAAATAACAAATGAACTGTTACATTTGCACATGTTTTTAGGGGAGACTAACCAATATTTTCCATTGCTAGCTGGTACTGAATCTTTATCTTTCATAGAATCACCTTTTTAAAGCTCTGTATGTGATGCCAATGTGATTTATTTATGAACTTCAGAAATACATTTGGAAAATGTAAAAGTGAATCAGAATTCAAGGTGAAATCAAAACCAAACCCTAACTTAATGCCAAAACACTTGAAAATTGGTGTTACAGCAGAGGTGAAATGCAAGAAGGAAA